GAATATAATAATATTCTTGGTAAGAGAGAGAGAAAGAGAGAGAGAGAGAGAGAGGTGAATTATGTAACTGATAAATATAGAAACAAATAGACGTCTCAATTACGCGAGAACTATAAACATATTATTTATTTTCGTTATTGCAAACGTTCATATGAGATTTTATAGACACCAGTTTTCGAAAACAAGTGAATTAATTTAGTAAAAATTATTTTCGATAGAGTGTTTTTATCTTTAAATTGAAAATTATGTCAGACACTTTATACAAGAAAAACATTATGCGAAGGAGAGGTCACAATCAATAAGAAAAATTAATATATTATATCACAAACATATAAAAAAAGTCATAATGAATTTGTAATACAAACTTTGTATAATAATTAATTTTTAATTTAAAAAATCGTAAAATTTAGCGTCTTTTTTCTTCTCTTTTTTTCTCTCTCTTGCTTTCGCTTTTGCTTTCTCTCTCTTTCTTTCTCTCTCTCGACCTTGAATACGTGTATTAGTCGACGAGCTGTGTTGCGGGAGGGTAGCAAACTCTCGTATCGATCCTCGTAGAAGCGCGGACCTTCCTCCGATCCTCATTCGCAAAAGCCGTACTGCCAAAACTTTTCTTCATCAGAATGAGTCGAAAATCTGGCGTTCTTAAGAATGATAAAGAAGGCGTAAAAAATCCTTTAGTTCAAATATAGATATATACACGCTTTGTACATCTTATAAAGAAGGTACGTTACATATTTTTAATTAAATCAGACAAAACTCGAATTTTTTTTTAAATAAAAACCGCAGAATATTAAAACGCGCTTATATAATATAATAAGTATCTTGGTTATATTCGCGTAAAAACACTTGCAACACAAAATGTTCTTATTTTTATTCTATGCCATTGTTTGAGATGTTTTTTGCGGACACGTCTTCGAAACGATTGATCAAATTACCGTCGAGAGTGTGTAGTACGCATCAGCCAATTGGGTCGGTACGTGACGGTAAGAAACTCTTTTGACCATGAACTTGAGTTGGATAGATTTTAGAAGTCGGCGCATTCATTTTCTTCTAATCAATAAGGAAACTTTTCAATCACGACGTGATATCGTTATACTTGAACGCGCGCTTTATACGCGCTTTATCGTCGCAGCTCTGCTCGGTTATCGTCCCGTGTAGAATAAGCGCCTAGATCGTTTTTTTTTTCTTTTTTTGACAAGATTTAAAATTCACGCACGTGTTAATTATTATGCGCTTGCTTCCGGATAATTTCTATTCTGTTACCGTTGAGTTCCCACATATTGTTTCCGTGATTTTGAAGAGAACCGTCTTTATTTCGTTATTATATTTTATATGTGGCCCGGAAATGTATTACAAGTAAAACGGCACCGTAAAACATCTTAATTAGCCAAAATTGGATTGAAAAAAGATGTTTTTTGCAATTAAATTTATGCTTAAAATGTTTTGTTACTGTAATAAATTTTAAAGCTTACAAGTGTTTTGACGAGTTACTTGTTGTAGAATATTAACTGCCGTGTGATTATTATTTTTGTAACTTATATATTTATTTATATTTGAAAACATTTTCTCTTTATCTTTCTCAATGATAATAAGAAAGAGAGAGAATCTATATAAAAAAAAAAAAACTCGAAGCTGCGTAATTTTATTTTTAATCTTACGTACAATAAACGCAACAAAAAACTTTTGCGTGTCTAACTTCTTTATTAAGAAAGTTTATTCACACTTAACAATGTGCGTCAAGTTCGTCAAATTGGTCATAATCTATCCAACTTGTAATACCACACAATTTTCGCATTTTACACGTACATATACTCGTGAGGAGAGGTACAAAAAGAAAAAAAAATGTTATGGATGATGAAACGTCAACAAACAAGAATTTCTGCTGCTCTAGATTAGTTTATTTCGCGGACAAACACGGGATATATTTTATATTATCTGTAATTCCGCACAAAATGTGTCTCGCGAAAGATAAGAAGTTGCAAATTATTATATCGTACATTTTACACACAGTCACCAAGTTAAATACATGTTATTTATTTGTCCGAGAGCTGTCAATTAAATCAAGCTTTCTTGATATAATATGCAAAGTCGATATATTTCCACATTACTTTTATATAACTGGTTCGAGGTCGATCTATCAATCTTTCCATTTTTTAGTTGAACAGGTACATAATACCTCTGTTTCTAATATCAGAGGGGATAACGGATCAATGATTGGTTGTTATAATTTCATTTGCAGAGAATAGTTATTGTGAATGACAAAGTGAAAAAAAGCGAATGATAAATGACAGCAAATGTATCTTGGTCTTTTATAGTATCATAAAAATATCAAAGGATGTTGTTTTGTTCGCTTGGAAAAAAAGAATGTTTTTTGCAGTCATATTGTTTTTATAATAATGTTCTTGAAATAGACAAACACGCAAAAACATTGATGTTGAAAGTGTCTTCAAGTTTTATTGAACATTATCATTTTTGGAAATTGGATGTTTCTTGGAAAATTATTCGGCATTTTAATTTTACAACCCAAAATGAATTTATCGTTTTATATTTCACAGGCGTTGCGTGTATATAATTATTACTGCTTGTAAATGAATGTTCCGTTTTTGTTTTCTTTTATTTCTTTTTAGGTCCTATTAATTCTGTTCGCGATAGCCTGACGCGATAAACAAGGTGAATAAAACGCAGATGTGATGTAACTTGCGCAAAGAAGCGTGGTGGAACATGCGTAGGGAGATCATTCGACTGTATATAACATTTCGCGGATAGCCAACTCAAGTCTGACTCACAATCTGTCTTAATTTTCGAGATTCTTCTAACGTATCTCGATGATGAAAGACTTGTTTATTGAAGAATATTATCTACTTGCAACGCGGCAAATTGGTGAATGTGAACGAAGCGGTTTTCAAGGATAGCGTGAAAGATTGGCCGATTACGTCACTGTCCAACAAGGTTTCGTCGGCCTTACATATATTCGGTCGAGCAGATTCGTTTATCGTACTTTTTTCGCACGACGGAAACGAAGCGTAGCGATGAGAGAGAAAGAGAAAGAGAGAGAGAGAGAGACGCGCTTAATTAGATCTCTAATCGATGGGAGTAACTTTCGACCTCTATTTTTCCGTCGGTTTTTTTTATGCCGATCGAACCACACACAGACTAAAGTTTATTTCGCTTCTTCGAACCTATTGGCCTCAACATCGCGAAAATGCAAACACTTCGCATAAAATTATACGCAATGCTATTATCCCGCGTATTATTATCGCATTATTGCGTTCGACGATAATGTTGAATTTTTATGTCATTGTTTTCAGCGACTAACTTACATATTTATTGCCTGTCGCGCGACAGACGAAAAATATTTCCGCGCCATTTTGATTACGTAATTATTACATTATTATGACGTCGGAATATACATGTTTGGTGGCGACATGAAAAATGCACGCCGACTTCTTCTGCTCGCGAGTAAAGCTGATTATGTCGCAATGTTTTAATTTATTTCGTTTTATTATAATTATACATTTCGTGTGACATTCGCTGGAATCGATTAAAAGGGAAACAAGTACTCTATATGCCACACATTTCATGTCATATGTTCTGCGTTATCGATATTATAGTACATATTTCAATCACCTGTGCTCGCATCTTCTCTACTTGACGGCGATTATTATCAACAAAACAGACTTCTGTTAATTTCTCTTCGCATTTTTCCAAAATCCGATCTTCTCTCTAGTGCCATTATTTTAATATGTGCATTTTATATTTTATTGCGCGTTATTTAATATTCGCTATAACGCAACTTTGTTATTAGTTTCGTTCTTATTTCAAGTTAATTTTGTTAAAATTAACTTCAAAAGTTTATTTTTCGTTCGCGATAATATTGAACGAATATGCATGCCTTGATTTATCCGCTTTTTATCTCTGGTGATTAATGTTGCGGTAGATCGCGGATAGGTTTGTTTGTATATACGACCGCGCATGCTTGTATGTTATTTTCTATACCGCGAGATACTTCAATCTGCCAGATAGACTCTTTGCCAGATACGCAACGAACAACGAATACCAAGCCAAAGTATCATCGGTTTTCTCTCTTTCTCTCTCAAGCGATACGTCGAGCGACGAATTAATTCGATGCCGTTTTCGTGTAATTAAGTCTTCATTTTCGCGAACGATTTGAGCGATTTAGCGAAATCTACGTAGAAACAAATTAGTCGCGTGCGCGTGCCGCGATTTCTATGAGAGAATCGCAAATTGATTAAATTACTTCGGTAGCCTTGATCCGACTTCAAACCCGAAGAGAGAATCCCGCGTGGCATCTCGACGATGCGCGCTTCAATCCTTTTTAGAGACACCGCATTGTAACAACATTGTAACTGCGCCACCGAACCACATAGTCGTTGTCGTGTTCTATTCACGACAATATGCGTATCCGGCTTGTTGCCAAAAGAGAGAAGCGTGATTTCACATGTAAAGGGATATATGTTGAAGGTGTATGTCGATCGGTACAATATGTTTGCAACAAAGTCATTAAATATCCGATCGATTTTGTAAGTCAGTGTATTTCTTTAGCACCAACTTACACGGCATTTACCTCTGTATGTGTATTATAATTATTAATTTGCGCATATTGTGTATGAGTGAAATTATAAAAACAATTATCTTGCGTAGAGATGTTTCTGTAATTATCTGTTACAAACTTTTATTTTATTGTAACATAAAATGGAAATCAAGTTGAATCGGATTTTAAATAAGATTTTTTTGAATCTAAATTGTTACAAATACGTAGAGTCGATAAATAGATGCTGCATATATATCCATATTATTAACATACAAAATATATGCCAACATATTTTATTATAAAAAATCGTAATTTATGGAAATGTGGAACTCACGCATACATTAAGTACAAAAAGTGATTTTCATAAATTAAGGTATACAGAAAAGATATATTTTATACTCTCCTAATTTGTGAATGTCGCTTTTAATCGACTCCGTTTTTGTTACAGCAATCCACGTGCGTCGCGCAACATGGCGGAGAAGCAACGCCGTGACAATCTCAATACCAATATTGCGAGGATGGCTGCTCTCGTGCCAATCGTCGCTGTAAACTCTCGGAAGATGGACAAGATCTCTATCTTGAGATTGGCCGCTGCTTTCTTGAGAACGCAATATAGTAAGTTACGATCTCTAGATCCTTTTCCTCAGTATGTGATGTTTTTATTTATTTATTTGTGTTTTTACTACTTTTTGTTATCGTAAAATGTGTTTAGATCCTAACTATTACCTACTATTACTGTTAGTTTATCGAAAAATAACATTTAGTTTATTACCGCATTGACGCGGTGCATTTTGTTTTATTGTTGTGATTTTAAACAAATCGAGAAATTATTACATGTTATAGAAAAGATCAATATCATTCTTGAGATACGAAGTATGGAATATCAATTGTTTGTTTGTTTGTTTTTTAAGTCCGTGATTACACGTGTTGGCAAAGAAAAAAAACATAATTCGCAATCACGCACGTGCATTATTTACAGCGCTCGGAAGTGGCTCGACAAATTTTCTCCCGCGGCAATTTGTCGATTTCGATTTGGAGCAATATTTCGTTGATGTAAGTATATGTTTTGACAAATGGATTTGGACACACCAAACAGATGCACGGGATTTTTACTTTGTAAATTATTACAGCACATTGTTGGCTCCAATGGATTTTTTCTTGTCATCACTACAACGGGAAAGATCGTATACGTCAGTCGACATGTGGAGCAACATCTTGGCCATGTTCAAGTAAGCGTTGTCTTTATTATTTCTCAGAACTGATAAATACGTATTGATACATACGTACTATTATATTCAAGGCGTAAAAATTTTCGTGGAGTTTGTTCAATGTCAATTTATTTCTTCAACATATCGCTTTTCTTCTGCGTGTTGGCTCTTAAAAGCTACTTTGTATTTGTTAAAAGTTATTTATACGCAAGATTGTTTGTTATGTCATGTGAGTATTAATCTCGATGAAGTATTTGAAGTGTTCACTTTAAAACTATTGAAAGCACTAGCTATTTATTCATATGTCGCGAAATTTTCTATCTGCGTAGCTTTTTTTTACAACGGCACATTTATATTGTGGTATAACATTCTCGTCGGCGACAATGAGAAGGTAAAGGAAGGGAAAAGAGGGAAACAGAGAGACAGAGAGAAAGAGAGCGAGAACAGCGATCGCGATCTTGCGGCTGCAGCTGTAGCACCGACCTACCCTTGTATTCAGGGAGTTAGGAATTATCGATCAAATGAACGCGTGCAACGCAAATACGCTCCCATGGCAACCATGCGCTGTGCTGCCCTCCGTTCCTTTTTGCTTGCGTTACGGTTGAAACGTAACATACCTGCCAATATCCCCGCGTTTATTTCGTATGTATTTGTATGCGGGAATTACTCGCGCAATTGCTCGCGAAAAGATTGTAGCGCGCGCGCGCGCGCGCCTGTTTTCAACGCGAAAAATTCCAGTTGTCGCGCAAATGAAGTGTGCGATGATTCCCCGGCTGATAATTTATTCATTGGATCCACATGCAACTTTTCCGCGAAAAATTCATACGTTTAATCTGATCTGATGAATATCACGGGATGAATTTTCCCGGCAAAAAAATTTACGTTTCAATTCGCGGAACAAGAAATCAAAAAGAAATTTTGTTGTGATCTTGTGATTGTAAATATTTAAATAAACAGAAATTCGCACGTTCAAAATGTTTTATATATAATGTAATTATTATATAATATTAATGTAAACATTTTATATTGATTCAGCGACATATAGTAATTATGTTGAAACTTTTGCAAACTGTATAAAGTACAATATATTTTTTACATATATTTGTCGCGTTTTACCAATATTAAAATATTATTCGGCGGATTTTATTCGTATCGCCGTCGTGTTAGAAAAATGAAATAACCAATATTTCTCATATACACATACACATATGTACAAACATACATATATAAATACATATATGTACATTTATACACGTGAGATGTGAAATTAAAATTTCCGGAATTGCGAATTTGTGCCAAACGGAAACAAGGTAAATGCTGCAAAAAAATCATTGCGCAAAACAGAGCATTTAATTAACTGAACGCGGATTTCACGGATCAAGTAATTACCGTTAACGGGAATAATACGCTTGTCTTTTTATTAAAGGGATTCTAAACTGAATCTGTTTTATCGACTGAATTTACAGCTTATGGCGTCAGATTGTAGTAATAATTCTTTAATATAAAAAGTTATGCAGTTTGTACGTAGAAAACAAACTGCGTCCCGTTTTCGGAACAACATAAAGAACAATTATATAGCTCTCGGAATTGTTTTTAGAAGGTTAGTGTAAATAAATAGTGTGCGTGAAATGATGAATAAATAGTGTGTGTATTCCAATATTGTTCTGAAAATATTCACGCACACTATTTATTCATACTAGGTTTCTAAACGCATTTCTGAGAGCTCTATATTGTTCTTTATGTTGTTCCGAAAACGGGACGCAGTTTGTTTTCTACGTACAAACTGCATAACTTTTTATATTAAAGAATTATTACTACGATCTGACGCCAAAAGCTGTAAATTCAATCGGTAAAACGACGGAGTTCGATCGTCAGTTTAGGATCCCCTTAAGTATGTATATATCTTGCGGTGAAATTGGGCCGACTATCTGCTGCAGATGTTAAGCGGCGTATATTGCAGGCGAATAATTAGCTCGATCGATATTGAGATATATAACGAGTGCATCACTTTTTGCTGCCTGTGAGTTTTTTTTTTTTTTTTTTTTTCTGACGACGCAGCATCGTCATCTCTGGCGAAATCAACCGTTTTCTGGGATTACCAAAAGGCTTCGCGCAATTGTACGCATGATGTTTCGGAATAATATTTTATTTTCTTTCTGAATCGGTACAAATATATGAAATTGAGAAAAGGAAGACGATGTACATATCGATGAGACTCGTGCACCATTGATCAAATATTGAATGTTAAATGAATGAAAAATGTGAACAAAACCGATACGTCGTATCGCGAATTTCTTTGAAAATGTAGAGAAGTATCACACGTTAAAAAAAGTATAAATATACTATAAGAAAAATAGAAGATATAAAATACTATCCTTTTTTCAAATTCAAATTAACGTTGATTTGTTTTTCTAATTTACATATTTTTTATTGTTAAAATAAAAACAGGGACGCAAGAAAAAGTGAATAATTAAGCAAACTTGTGAAATGACCAACCTGAACTATGTCGTAATAAAAAGTAGAAAGGGCAAACAGAATAAAAATGTTGACGTGCGGCTCAGTGAATGTTTGCGGGTAAAATCTGAGAATCGTTACGCATAAAAGTATCCTACCGCGCAGAAAAAATTATCGTCAAATATTTTACGAGATTCCCGTCATTAATTACGGTAATTTTGACTGGAATTTTTAATTAAAATTTGAATCGTGAGTCTACGAAAGATTTCTTTGATAATTTCCTTGAAACACAAAGATCAGAGAGATATATAATAAGATACTTACGAGTTAGATGCATTAATGATTTGCGTTTGTTTTCATATTTGCGAAGTGAAATGAATTTGCTGAGTCTATCTATGCGGACTGTGTCAATCGCGCGAACGTAATGCATGATCGAGTAAATTATGATGTAAATCCATAAAAGCAGCATTTTCACCTTGATATCCGTACACGTACGAGTATGTATATACGAGTTTTTTTGCGTTTCGCAAAGTCTACGGATTCCCTAAAGCTAAATCGAGTATATTAGTTAGCGAAAGAGTCCCTTGGTGGTGATAAGGATCGTATGGACGCTCTAACGATAGCCAAGCAACTAAATTTAGCGCTTTTGGAAGAAAATAAAGACGTAGATTATTACAACCTTCACGCAAGAAGCTCTCGGGGTTTTTTAAGACCCAACTCGATGAGAATATTATAGACAACAAAAGGAAGAATATACTTGGATCTATATATCATTATTATCAAGAGACTAAAAGGAAAGAAGGAAATTTATTAGCCAGTTTGAATAAATATTCTTAAACATTGTTGCAATTCAGAATTAAACACATACATGCATGAGTAGAAAATAAAGAGATATCTTTTACGATATTTATAATTGCATTCGACTTTGCGGCTTTTTAGATTCTTTATTTAGTTTAATAAGCTATCATCGAATGTTCTATGGCGAAGAAACTTTGTGAGTTAATTTTCTTTTTTTTTTTTTTAATAACATCGAGCATTTTCTGTAATTACCTTGAAACGTCATGGAATACTATTTTTTTGCTATTTATTTATAGAACCCGTGTAGAATTTCCACTCTTCCACTTATAATTTAATACACTCATCAGATTGAATTGAGTATGTGTTAGAATGCTGATCTCTCGGGATGTTAAAATTTTAAAAATTTAAACTTTTGAGGATCAAATGTTGCGTAACAGTTTTTCGGGAAACATCGAGTACGGACGTCTATATAAACAATTCCCAAGCGCCCTTGGGAGGAGGGGAAGGATATTGTTTTTCTATTTGCATCCGCAAGGCTATCACACACATATTTCGGGATTGCTTCCAGGAAAGCCGCGAACGTATGACGAAAGAAGATAATATTGGCTTCAAAACAACAAGAAGAATGCACAATTTCACAATGCACAATTTGGACAAAAAAAAAGATAAGATCAATTTAAATGAAGGATTCGTTTGAATTACGGAGAGACATATCTCCGGGAGATTTCAACGCGTGTATCAAATTTCTGTTTCGCAACGAACAAGCGAAATTTGACATTCCAGAGATTGAAACTTCATTAGTCTCTTATTTCTCTCCGCTCTCTTCGCTGTCTCTTATTATGTAATTAAGCATTAAGAAGTAAAATATTGTAACCATCATCGCTCTTGAAAAAAAAACTATGCGTCTGTGTGTATTACATATGTATATATTTACATATTTACATACACACACACACACACGCACACGATGCTCGTTAATTGAAGAAAAATTAACTCTCGCTCTCGTACGCTACGGGTTATCACTCTTCCTGTCATCTGGAAGTTGTCTTTGTTTTTCTTTGAGAAAACAACAAAGAAGGCAAACGGGCGGTAGCGGTAAACCACACACGTACACGTCAAGGATAAAAGGTAAAAAAATGTCTGTGCTATCGATCGCGCGCGCGCGTTTGCCGGTGGCGCTCCAGATTCAAGCGGTAACGATAATTCGCCACTCTGCTGTAACGAATCAGCTCTTGGAAGCCACCCGAGTTTCTCTTTTTTTTTTTCTCCCTCTTTCTCTCTCTTTCTTCTGTCTATCTGTCTATCTCTTGTATTCTAAGAGATACTGGAGAGACTGACGATAAAGAGGCGAAAGAGAAGCAAAGAGGGAAAAGGTAGTAACGGCGGGAGTTGTTTGCGCGAGCGTGGATTTGTTCTTATTTTTCAAGAAAGCATTCACAATCAGCCTGCATTGTTCTCAAGGAGAAACTGCCCGCTGCGAAAACGAGTGCCGACGTTGTCACGTGCACCACCAACGTCATCTTCGAGTTCCTCGACATATCATGACACGATTCGCTGCGTGGAAGATACTTGCAATAGGTAGCTTCTTATAGAAGTAATCTCTTTTGCGAGACCTTTTTGTGAGAACCGTGACGATTCTGTTTTTGAGAAAAAAATAAGTGCAATAAATGCACACAAGAGGAGGGGGAGTATGAAATCTAAATAGAGCGGCAGTTGTTATTTTAATGTTAATGGCGCAATCGTTCGATCGTTCAAAGAACAAAGCTTGAAAATTAGGTTTTGTTACGATTATGGAGCTGTATATATATATATAATCGATGTAAATATAAATATGTAATTTAAACAACTACAAGAAAGAAAATTATACATTGCGTGGCTCTATCGAGACAGTCTCGATCAATCTCACATAAAAATATTGATTTCTCTATCTGAATTAAAATTACACTTAATATGTAAATATCAAAAATCGTGTTAAAAGAAACAAAATTTAATCTTTACGAATTTGATATTTTGCTAAAGTTTATCGGTTTTATCTTGAAATTGATCGATTTGATCAGAAATATGAAAATTTTCTCTAAAATATTTTGCAGAACGAAATGTTGGGTCAGTCTTTGTACAGCTTCGTTTATCTCGAGGATCATGACGAGCTCAAGCGTAACCTTTCGACCGAAGATATCCAGTCGACGACGGCGAAGGGTAACATCTCGCAGATATCGGAGCTGGTGCATGATAACAACTCCAGCTCTTCTGAGGACTCGACGACGAATCACAAGCCGAACGAAAGGCTAAAGTTCTTTCGGGAACAAAGACGGAACTTTTCAATTCGCCTGGCACAGCGCACCGTGTCCAAGCGCAACACCACGCAGTACGAGTGTTTCGAAATCTCGGGGGTGCTCCGGCTCGCGGACGCTTGCAAGAACGCGGATCTCAACGGAAACAAGGGAAAGTATCGAGGTGAGAGTTTTTCAAATTTCGTTTCTCCAAACTTACTCTCCTCGCAAAAAAGCTAAAGCAGCGCATAACAGCTTTAAAACTTCTTATGTTGCGTTAATATCGGATGGATCTTCTTTCTTTGCGTGTATTTAGAAGATGTGACGAAAAAGAATCAGCGTTAAAATCTGTTGAATATTGTAATTTTTAATTTCAAGTCACAGTTACTGAATTTCTTAGTTTCTCGCATCATTTCGCGCGACTTCGAATTCAGTTGCGATTTAATCGATTCCAAATAAGGTTTTCAGTCGTATTATTGCATTTTACCTCGTCGCGTATAAATGTACGCGCGGTTGACGCAATAAAACCGTTTTCATCATAAACGGGATAATTCTATCGCGCGAGAGCTGTCGGTAATAGACATCCCTTCGCATAAAAGCAGCAATATCGTACTTCATTACGTATTCTATGTGAAACAGTCCGTAAGCGAGTGGCGAGCGAGTGAAAGGAGGACTTTGCGCGGATTTCGCAGGAGACGACGTACGGGTGAGGAAAGAAAGAGGGATCGATGATTTTGTTTTATCACGACACGATTGAAATACGTTGCGCGGGTTTCGAAACGAGTATTGCAAATATTTACACCGCTGTATTTAAATTTAGATCTTCGCCATCCCGTCCGAGAAGACGAGAGATGTATAGGCGCAGTCACGAGCGTTTCAACGCGCGTACCATTCTTTATCTGTTCCTCTTAGATCACAGCAGAACACGCAACACGCATATGTATGCATGTGTTGTGCATACAATATTATTGTTTAGAGATGCTTTCGAAAACAAAGTTAGACAGACGTGCTTAACGAAGCTTATTCGCGAACGTCTTACGGCGCAAAAATATTTCTCGGGTCTTGTCGAACGCGCGCCGCTTTGGAGCTACAAGTTCTTTGATGTAACTCGAATCAGCTTCTCTTACGTTGAATATTTAATGAAAAGTCAATATTTTACTGTAATTTCGCACTTGTGGAATTATCTCAGCGATCTGAGGTGAAAATTGTGCTTTTGCTTTGAGCTAAAGCTCGCTGGAGAAAAAAGAATAGAATTTTATTTGCATTTTTCTCTTTACAAGTTTTCTTTGCAAAATTGTCTTCTCATCTACAATTCGAGACCCTTCTTAAAAATTATTTGCAGCTCTGTTTCTTGCTCGATTATCTATATTTTTGTTCGTTTTATCGATCATCAAATATCATTTCCCGGTATGTTTACGACGTTTCCGTGATCGTAAATTCCTTTCTGAAATGCTTTATTTCTGTCCTTCAACTCGAGGAGTGATTTGCATCCGGTTGTTTACTGACCTTAGCTCGAACCAACGATTTTGACAGAGACCAGCACCACCAACGACATTGTTTTCGCCGGCATAGCAACCCTACCGAAGAAACGGCTCATCACCGACCTGTCGATACTGGATATGTATAAGGACGAGTACGTAACGAGGCATTTGGTCGATGGCCGTATCATTTATTGCGATCATAGAATATCCCTTATCGCCGGTTACATGTCGGAAGAGGTGTCGGGCGAGAACGCGTTCAAATACATGCACAAGGACGACTTTAGATGGACAATGATCGGCCTACGTCAAAGTAAGACTTTTATAAGATATTGAATATATTGTTTTATACATTTGTTGTGTGTATATATTGGCTGCTGAGATGATGTGGTTGTGTACGATTTTGCAGTGTACGATCGCGCCGAAACATACGGCTCGTCGTGCTACAGATTGTTCACGAAGAACGGAGGTTTTATCTACTTGAGAACTCACGGCTATTTGGAATTCGACAAAGACACGCAAACGGTGGAGTCTTTTGTCTGCGTCAATACATTAGTATCGTAAGTACATTATTACGTTAAATGCAAGATAAACCGAATGTGAGTGAAGTTTATCGACAATTGAAATATGGTGAATATAAAATGAAAACGTTGTTGTCATTTAGTTTTGTTTATCTTTCTAAGTAATGCAAAGTAATTTATTCACAACGCGAAGAAATTTTCTTGACAATATTAAAACTGTGAAACTAATTATGTAATTGTAAACGCACAATTTTTTGCGTACTTGTTCCGAGAGAGAGAAAAACGTTCTTTAAAAGTACTACAGCGAACGCATATCTACGTTGAGCAACATTTAGCAATGGGGAAACTTCGTTTGCAGGGAAGAGGAAGGCATAGAGCTCATGAAGGAGATGAAAACAAGATTCTCCGCGATTGTGTCATCGGCCAGCAAGAATCTGATTCTCGATAGTACGCTGTCGACAGATTTGGTAAGTTTAATCGAACTAATAGAATGTTTTCGCTCGTTAATTATATTGCGCGCAAAATTCTGAATATATAGAAAGCTTGATTTTAACAATTGCGCTCCTCTTTCCCGATTGTTGAATTAGGACTCCAACATATCTTCTCGTCCGGAAAGCAATCTCGAGACGACGCAGAAGATCGAAGACGCCATTAATCAGCTGATCAGCGATCTACCTTCGCCGGCCGTGTCGGAAGATCATTTCTCGCCCGCGCCCGCGCCAGACTCGCAGTTCGTGAAAGCCGTCATGTTCTCCAAGGGTATGCCACCGGCGGCCACGCAGGCCAAGGAGATCGGCATCAACAAGATCGATCGTTATATTTTAAATGGCAAGCGCAATCGGAAATTGAGCCAGGACTCGAACGATCACACGATGAACAAGTCATTCAATCCCAGCAGTGCGGAGCAAAGCCCGATTTCAGACGCAGAAAGCCCGAAAGTGTGCGGAAAGAATCTGGCGATGCTTGACATAAAGAACACTCATGTTCACAACAACATACCCAGTAACATTCACAACAATATTCAAAGCGCCAATATGTCTCTGCAATCGAACGTTCTCGTTACCAATAATACAAATCCTTGCGTTTCTTGCAATCCTACATCGCGTCGGAACGTTCCTAAAGCCGTAAACGTTCTGAAGCAAGAAAGGATAGAACAACATGCAACATGCAACGTGAACATGTCGCCGAGTTCTGTGCAGGAAAGCATCAGAATGGAACAGAAGCCTGAGACGTTTAATAATCGTATGATAAAGCAAGAACCGTCGGTGCAGTATTTCGACGACAATACAAACGACAGTTCGGTCATTTCATCGGGATTGACTTCTCCTAGTATCGAAACGCATAATCGCGGCCCGTTAAAAAGAATATGCGACGACGACATCTCGGCGACGCATAACAAAAGGCGATCGAACGACGTATACGCGTCGACAAACGGCATCGGCACAGCAGAACAGCAGAACGCTTCCTACTTGAAATGCAAGATCTACGCGACCGAAAACAAATATCCGGCCTTCTCGGCAGGTTTGAATCAGTATAATGATATCAGCCCGCAGCCTCTCCTGATAGAATCGCCTAACTCGAGTTTGCACGAAGTCACAGCGGATAGCTATCAACACCTAGCGGATCCGCTAGGTACAATGCATTCTGATGACGAGCAATTTGACGACATGCTTTTGGGCCCGGAACTGAAAAATCCAGGTATTACAATTAACAATTCCGTTAGCGTTCATTTAACAAAATATTTACTTTTGTTTTATTATTGAATAACTGCATTCATAATTTCTTTACATCTTCGATACACATTGTTTTTCTGTGTTACAGAACTCATGATGAAGTTATTCGATAATCTTCATCCCGAACCTGTACCGAATCTGAATTATGAAAGTAAGCATTTTTCGATTTTATGTAAGCAATTGTGTGATAAAGTGTCCGAAACGATGCATAGATAGCAACAGTAGTATTACATTGTTGTTGTCGTTGACAAGTATTATTTTTCAGAAGAAGAAATGTCAAACGCTCATTGTCCCACGTAGTGTTCGTGCAACAGCTTGCCAACATTTATTTAGTATCGATGACTTTATTGTTGCTCGAAAATTTCTTCCCACCGATGCTATTGTTGTTGTCATTTCGGGTACTTATCAATTGCTTCTCGTATATATCGTTTTAGAGTTCACACTCAAATTTATTCTGATTTTTATGTTGTTTAAGATTTCAATGAAGCAAAAGTGCAGCAATTTCTTTCTGCCAATGTAAGTACGTTACAATTTGAATTGATTTTAAAAGTTAAAACACGTTTAAGGTTACAAGATTTGGAACAGAAGTTAATTTATTCGCAATATGCTTCTAGCAAGCGGTAAATGATGAAATAAGGCGCACGTGTGATGAATTAGCAGACAGCATGGCGTTCCGCGAGTCTCAAATCAACGGATTGAAGCATGAGCTCGAATATAAACTTCTAAGCGCTCAAAGAGAGAACTTGTCACAGTTACAAGTATGTATTCATATTATTATTATTCTCGTGTTGATATCGCAATGTCATGTATATATATATATGTATGTGATCACATGTTTGATTACACCATACTATATATATATTTGTTACTTTGTAGGTTGAACATAACATGCAGAAGCAAATGCTCAGAAATTTACAACATGACCATCGTAAGATGCAATTGAATACAAAACACACCCATGGAGTGTAAAAAGTAGGATTGTTTTGCAAATTTGATTGAAAAACATCCTTGAAAAGCATCCAAAGCGAGCTTAATAGAGTGTATTCTCCGGAATTAAGCAGAGCAGGCTTCAAGAATTACTTAGGAGACTGAAATAAGAATCGGCGTATGTGTAATTCGTTTGATGATGAATTTATAGTGTTTGTTCTGTTATACGTTCCGGAATTTTGTTGCTTCCGAATTATCGATCTCAAAACAAAAAAAAAAGGAAAGATTTGCAATTTTTAGTAATCGTCGTAAGTACAATAACAAAGTTCACATCGGCTTATGTCAATATGGATCAGATGGAGGCGTTCTATGTGAATTCACTTCACTCATTTTATGGGAAAAAGAAAAAACTCGCTTGAGGCACTGGTGATTCGTATATATGTCAAGTAGTTTGTTTGAGTTCGGATCTATCGATCAAAAAACAAAAGTGTAAGAAATCCAACGAAGAGACATCGAAGAAAAGAACTTGCACAGACTAGTCAAACAATTGACGTGTACAAAGTGGTTCTTTCTCTGTGTTTTTTCTCTTCCTTTTCTTAATCTCTGTGCGACCGAGAAGAGTTGTTACATGTATTGCTATGCGAAAAGATGCGTTTTTTTGCTCGCTAACAGATCGTGCAGATCGTATACAAGGGCAAAATGGGTTTGTTGTGGAACGACAGTCGCATCTCAAGCAGATCTCCTATACGACCGACTGTTACGCAGTTGGCAGTTTTCAAATTTTATGATAGACTTGTATATACATAAGTATACACATTCGATTTTAACGCAGCAACGTTGTGCGGTACTTTCCTCGCGCTAATTTAATTGCTCGTCGCAAGACCGGCTGAGCTTAAAAACTACCTCTGTGGTTATGCATGTATCGGATGGATACAAAACCAGCTTTTATTCTTATCGGTTATAATTGCAAACGCTGTATACGAAGAATTAATAATACTCAAAGTGCTGTTTTATATATCTTTTTTTTTTTTATAAATTGCAAATTATACTGTTGCACTTGTAAAATGCGAAAAAAATGAAAAATTGATTTGGTAATTTTAATAATGCTTTTATTTCTCTCGTCTCATGTTAATTTTTCTAATTACTGATACGATAGTAATTTTTCTTTTTTTCCAATTGCATATATCTGCGCGCGCGTGGAAGAACAGACACAAGACATTTGGAACTTATATGTGTAGGGTTACCATATGTTTTTTTTCTTTTCTTTCTTTTTATTTTTTATTATTTTTTTTTTTTTCATAGAACGGTTTTTCACTATACGTACCTGAATTATATTTGCGTTTAAATGTCCTGTAACTGGAGGATTGAAAATCCAATTACGTGTTATAAAAACAATAGAAAATATATACAATTTAAATTAGATCATTAAAACTAGGTCTTTCGTTTTTCTTTGTTACCTTTCCCTTGTGTAGTTAATATTATCGCTATCGCACAAGCGTGTCTTTTATATGCACTTTCGCTACATTCTTTTCAATTGTGGTAACCCTAGATGTATATCTCCCAATTTTTATCAAGCATTGTGTATTAGAATAGGAGGTGGGGATCGATAGATTTGAGTGATTAACAAACATATGGGTTACACATAATTAATCTCGGTATTCTTGTTGCAAAATTTAATTTTCGACAACAACCGCAATGTATCGAGCGCGAGAGAAAACAAGAGTGAGTAATGACATTATCTAGTATTTCATCAATCTTCACTTTTTCCAATTATTTCCATGTTGTGCGAGGCCACCAGTATGTCGTCCTCGTAAACTGCGATTAAAACCAGTACTTTTCCTTGCCTTGTATAATAGACGAAGAGGTCAACACTTGTGGGAATTGTGCACAAGTTCGTTCCGCAGTTCCTTATCTAGTCTCGCGTACTAACAAACGCCTGATGTAGTCCGTACATGGCTTTTCTTGAGAGACAAGACCCTATTGTCGGGTTGAGGTTTGTCAATCATCTTGGCTGTGGTAGAAACCTATTTTTTGTTTCACATTGAACAATTAGCTCTAACGTCCTCCTCGGTCTTATCTAAATGATTTTGTTTTATTCACTGGCCTTGTTATCCATCCAATATTGTGTTACTGCGCGAAAGATACATATATTAACAATGAACGCTATTTTTGTTCTGTTGACGATTGAGCTCTGCGTTAATGAGTATCGCGTGGCAGCGCGATAGCAAACGCGGTTGACTTTTATATATGTATGTACGTGCTACAATGCATATTAGATACGCATGCAATCATGTTTCTTGCGATTACTTAACGCCGCTGGTCAGCGTGAATAACGAGCATGTAATAATTGTCTATCGTACGTGTTTATGAAATATAAGTATGCGAGGGATATTAATATAAAAGAGAACGACCGTGTACACTTGAAAATATTTTCGAGCACCTAAACGAATCTATGAATTCTCACTCAAATTTTACGCACACGTATATAAGACTGGTCTTCTACAAGTGCAAGTGAGTTTTAAACACTCAGTTTTCCTCGTTTATTTAATAATATCCAATTAGGCATCTATCGTAGAATTATAGCATTGTTACCTGAATTTTCGCGATGTTCTTCTCACGTAGATAAAATTCAATGGGTTTTTTTTACATGTATATTAAAATAAGATTGTGCAAACAAACAAAATGAACTTTTTTATCGACTTAATAAGTTATGTGAGTTTTTCATGTTTCTACGTGCTTTGTTATTATCGTACGTCTATATACGTGGGGCTTGGAATTTTGTCGCCCAACTTGTCAAAACAGAATGTACATATTAATATAATATAATAATATATACACTTGCGAGCACACGCAGTGTTGTATATACGTACAGTAGAGCACGGATAATTGTAGTTCACGATTCAAGACCTTATCGCTTATTTGTGGAAGAGAAAAGAGAGAACCACTTATAAGAATAATTAATCTTTTTACTGCGACATCGAGACAGCTATAAGAGAGGCAGCTACAAGATCGGGCGTGACAAAAATCGAGCAAGTGTTGCTCGATTTAATTAGTTTAATGAGTTTATTGTTAAAGTAATAATTTACCTGTTTATTGCGATAGACAGATGGTTTATTTCTTTCTTTGATCGAAAAAAAGATCGAAATGACACGTGGACATTTTATCAGTGCTTTATTGTATGTTTATTACTATATACAGGATGTCTGAACAATTTTGATACAGCTGAAGTGTGAAGAGAGATTGGGTAATCTCAACAGAAAAGTCATTTAACGTTTTACACAATTTGCAATATTTGTTGTGTTATTATATAATATGAGAGATATAATTTGCAAATAATATATTGCAAATTTTGCAAAATAATAAGTGATTTTTCTGCTCAGATTGACCCAATCTTCACACTTTGACCGTGCCAAAATGTTTTTAGATATCCTGTATATTGTAAACAATGTTGTTAACGTGATTTTAATGTCATATTTATTACAAAAAGTGAAATTGTTAGGCAGTAAAAGCCGCTCTAGCTATGACTATTATGTAAGTGCAATGTCAGAAGTGTAAAAGGTAGTTTTGTCTTGTCGTTGTCAGAGAGAGTCTTATCGATAGAAGGGGCTTTAATTAACATGTCAGTTATTTGCCAGTAAGAATCTGCATTTTTTTTAATGCAGAATTTCGCCGCCGAAAGAAGAACCGGGATATCTGACGTAATGAAACTTACATTGCATAATATCAAGATCGCGAGTAGAAATAAATTGTCTTTTAACGTCACGTCAATCTCTCACAGTCTCATATAGTACAAAGGACAAAGCTAATACTGTCTGTGTATACTTTTCATTTTCTTTACTTTTTCTCTTGAGTTGTCGCCGTGCTGTCGTTAGTTTGTGATCAGTGTTATGAAAATATTTTCTATTGTGATAATATTTTGGAGCATGAGGAAAGACTACTATTAATTGTGTGCGTTTGAAAATATTTTTGTAATAATTGCAAACACGAAAATTTAAACCGGGCATTATAGTCTATTAAGAATTTATTAGTTGTCAAAAAACGAAAAGATTATCCTTTCTTTTACATTTTCTTCAATAAATAAATCATTTACACATATGAGTTTTTATAATATAATAATATATGTACATATACACATATATATATATATGAGAAGAAAATATATTAAAAAATACAAATACTTCTCTGTGATTGAGCCGTGTACGTACAAGATATTCTTGCAACAAAAAAATCGAGAAACTAAAAAGAGATCCCTCTAAACTATATAAATAAATTTAAGACAACTAAGGGAATAACACACAATAAAAATTATCGCATACTTGATATCTATGTAAAATATTGAGATGTGAACGGATATCAGTGCAACACAGACAGACAGCTCTACGGTTCATTATATGCTAAGATAAAAGTTCATATACACCACTGTGTAAATATCTACATTATATTTTATATACTCTGCTCTAATAATTGCACACATAAATAATTTTTTTTTCATAGGAAAACTGAAAGCGAAATAACCGAGTATAATTACATAGATTCTGGTACGTCTTTATACGTACCAGAATTTGTGTTCCGCACTTGATACATATATTTATATATACGTATTATATATGTATATATATATATATATACATATTATATATATATATTTATATGTGAAATGCGGAATGTAACGCATATTGATGACATCTGCTTTTTCTACAAGGGTAAAACTAGAAATCCGAGTTGTTTTGTAAAAATCACGAGACAAACAAATATCTTGTAATTTTCTCAGATTATATACTTATACTACGTTACGTCAAAAGTCAAAAGTGTACTTTTCTACCTATTTATCTTGATTTGCGACCAAGTCATATCGAGTCAGGATACATACATGCAAAATTGTATAAACTTCGATTCACTTGCTTGATAGTAAAAAAAAACCTCATTTTAATATTATATTCCGAATATCACTATTATATTAATCATTCTCTCTTTCTTCTATATTAACGAGAGAGGACACTTTTAATTCTCTCATGACGACGGATATCGTGTAGAACACATTGCGTGCGTAATAAGAGAATCGTGTTCTTCACAAAATAATATACAACTTAGCATAGACAAGAAGAAGCAAAAGAAATAGTTTATACTTACGTCTTATATAAGGGGTTGCTCACATATATGTTATATAAATAATATTCTCATTATTTTGATCTTCTGAAAAACTGGGACGATTGCATGTGAATTGAACACGCGTACGTGAATTGCTTCTCGATCGAGTCCAAGCCGGCCAATAACTGTATAAATGTCGCAAATGTGTCGCAACAAGATCATGTTTGTAGAGAATATTTCTAATATAGTAGTTTCGGTGTTTGTTTGTTATCTATTCAGCAACTTTGTGTGAATTCCAATAATGCTATGTACTGCATTACGTACAGAACGCTGAATGTGATCTGTGTTTCAAAAACAATCTGGTAAAGAAATCCACCGCCAAAATATTTTATGATTTTGTCAGCCTCGAAGTAGTTTCTATTCTACGTATTTTTCAATGCACAGAAATATAATTTTTTGCAATATATCATACATAAACGAAACAAATATGTAAGTTAGAAAATGAAACATATCTCTTGAAGCATTTAAGAATCAAGATTTTAGCAGATCGATTATTACACGATACAGATTTAATGACGTTGAATTAATTATCGTATTTTATAGAAACTGCTTTTTACCATATTTAATATTATAAGGTATTACAAGTTAAAAACGGCTATAAGTATTTTAATTTTCTTCAATTGGAGGTGGATGGTACTTGCCAAGAAACTGCAAAGAAAATGTCTATCGGAGAGACGGACACGCGTACATTGTTAATCGTTGCAGAAAAAAAATCTTTTAAAGAGTTATGAAACTGCTTTACAGCTCGGTGGGGAATAACGTATATTTTTGTCTGGCACATGAATTATATTGATATATGACGCGGAGTGCATACGATAACCGGCGAAATCTGTGAAAATTAAAGAGAACGATCTTTCCGGATAAAGTTTTTGACGAACAATAAAAAATTTAATGATTCGACGCATTATCTGCATAAAACTTCGTCTACTTATCACTAAATATTAATCTATACACGAAAATATACGCAGGCAAATATAAAGAAAGAAAAACAGAAAAACTTTGTATTTGTAACTAATGAAAAAGAATATATATGTATATATATATATATAATGGACAAAAATTATGTATATGTACACATATATATATATATATTGTGTCAAGACTGAAAACTACGTGTAGAAGGTGAAACATTTTTGTAAATAAATATTGCCTGAAAGAAATATATATATATATGTAATAATAAATTATGTAATTATTGTGTAAAGTCAATCGTTTTTTCATTTTTCTTCTCTTATTTTCATTCTCTCTCTCCATTATTATCTACTTCATAATACTGAAAAGAACATATTGTAGCCACACAATGCTACCGTCAATAGTTTTTTTTATTAGGATTCATAAAATTAATTTTAACATATTTTGTAAAATAATTGTGGAACCAATTACGAGTTACAAACGTAAAGTCTTGAAAATCTTGTCACATGGATACAATTTGTGTTCGACAGTAACATGAGAAAATAACAGAAAAGTCACCGCCTTACGAGGTGGTTTTTTCAATGAAAGGCACACGTGTAAATGTTTTTTTTTTCTTTTTGCGAACCGCAACAGATAAAGAGTTTCCGAAAATGAGTAATTCACTGCAATTTATCTTTCAGGTTTTATTCAATAATACCGCGTATAATCGAGTCATGTGTGAGATTCGCACTTATCTACCATGCACCAATTTCTAAAACAATCCTAAAGCACAACGTATTAGAGCTCGTATTGTCAGAAAGACATCTGTGTAAATTGACAAGACTCTCGCGTGTTTTGTGCAGGAAGTACGAGATCGCGAGATTTCACACCTACTAAAATGCTAGTCGTGGTTTCAATCCTCTAATATCGAAGTATCATCGACAATATACACAATTTTTGACAATTTTATCACTTTATTGACGCGCAATAAATTATTAAAAAACAAATTGCAACTGCAATTAAAATTTAACTGTTTCGGTCGTTAGCTTTGCGTTCGATATTAGAAGTTCGAGACCAGTGCAATTTGTTTCGCATGCAAGACATGCTCTGCACACGCAATGTCCTGACGAAAGGCAGTGTGGAACAGCGAACATAATAAAAACAAATACAGTGATAAATATTGATCGATGATAATATTACTGATGTATATCTCTTTTTTTTTCACTCTTCCTTTCTTTCGTCATCTGCGTGTTTATACGAAAATACATGACACTTGCAAACCTGGAATATTTCGCAAGCATGGTAAAAAGTTGTCGCGATTGCGCAATAAACATGTTCAAATACAGGGAGAGGCCAATGTGCGTTTTGTTTTTTTTGTTTTTTTTGTTTTTTTTTCGATACAATGCGACGTCTTTCTCAACGTCAGAAATTCAATCGGAGTACAAATTTTCTATAGTTATCACGGCACACAACGGAACTTGACGATCGGTGATTCTACCACAAAGAAAGATAGAAAAATAGACGAATCTTCAGCGACGGCAACTTCAGCGCACCGCAGAAATATCGCCATCCTTCAACAGTGAGAACAATACAGTCGGAAATTTGTATTCTAGACTATTCGTTGCTACGAATTGAAGAATGTTATCGTCATATTTTTTTTTTTTTTTTTTTTTTTCAAGCAATATCCGCGCCAAATGTTAAACGTCAATTTTACATCGTATATATGCTACTGATTTTCACTTTTCGTCAAACTTCATGAATGATTCAACGCTATTGTCGTTCTCTTCTTCTACGTGTTCGCTAAGCGGATTATTTTGGTCGTAAAATCGAGATTTTTATATAGGAATAAGTCTGTTCTCGTTATCGATCATTAAATATGCGTATATCAACGAGCTACACCGTACGTTCTATTAGGATTTCGAAAGAACGAAGTCTAGTCTCGAAAGGCATTCTTTTTTTTTTTTATATCTTTCACTAGGAAATCTTGATGTTAACCGTCTAATTGCCAAACTGTTTCTCGGAAACTTAAGAATTCATCAATTTTTCAATTTTATATATATTCATTTGTGTGTGTGTTCGTGTGTGATGACTAATTGTTTTTGATGTGATATAAATTTATGAAACAGTTTAGCTGAAATAGTCGTATACATATTATAACATATATTGATACATTTTTTATTATTGTAAAAATCAATATATATATATATATATGTATATATATTTTACTCAATTAATGTAGCATAAAAAATAAGAATATTTAATTTATATGAAACGTGATATTTTCATTTAGGAACATTGGCGGTTAAACGGTTAAAATAATTTACAACATTCGATCTGTTTTTCAAACTGTGAATTAAATAAATGTTCGCGTTTGAAAAAAACAGATCAATTCCCAGCTACTGTCAAAGCGTCCGCATATTTGTCTACTCAGTCGATTTTTTCACTACTACTTCAGTGATAGAAACGTTCCAGCAATGAACATAAAAAAAAAAAAAAATGTTCGTCACACTGATAAAAAGATTGTTTTTGTCACAACAAATTAAAATTAGTTTTATTATTCAAAAAACCTCTTTCTTTCTTTGCTTTTTCTGTTTCACATACAATATTATGTGGAATAAAAGTCACATGCACGTAATAGAAAAGCAATAGCAAGAGACAAATAGACAAAAAAAAAATAAATCAGTAACAAAGAATTGAGAGCCTGTGTCGTTACGTTTTCCAAAATAAAAACGCTTGGTACATATTGATATACATATGTTCAGTTATACATATATAAATTAGATGTTTGATTCGCGTTTATTAGTTTATATCTACAACTAGCGGGCTGTATATACAGGGGACACAACGAGGGGAATTGGAGATTCATTCATTTTCTTTCGCAGCCGTTTGTCACCGAGAGCACTTTATTCAATGTAGATGTCCTCTATCGGAAAAGCAGTTTCGATGAATTTCGTATAGAATCGATGAAAAGCGCGTCTGAAAGAAGAGAATAAAAAAAACAAAAAAACAAAAATTAGATTCTTGAGTTTTTACTCGTGATCCGCGATAAATTAACAATATGAAGTAGTTTATAGTCAAGTAACACAATAAAAGAAGTCTCACCCGACAGCTTCGGCAACGGGTCTCGTGGATTCCTGACCGATAAACACGTGACAAGCGAACCTTTGCAGAGTTGGGTGCTTCGTGATAAAGCCAAGGTAGCGATGGTCACGAGGGTGAAACGCGCAAAATGACACATTCTTCAGCGAGTAGAAATAGTCGTGACAAGGACCCTGACTTTTCTGTAAAATTGCATTTGAAAACTATACGTGGTGAAAAAAAATTCGAAAATTGTTGGTTTTGTTAAAAAAAAATTTTTTTATTCAAAAGAAATAATAAATTGATCGCCAAGAAATAAATTTACCCGTGGTTTACTTCTGTCAACCATTCGGAGACCCTGATCGGACACTTCCAGAATGCAGCTCTGCGAAATGGGAGGATCCTGCGTGGAGTTGCGAAGGATTCTCCGCACAGCTTGGCAAACTACTCCCGTGCCTTTGTGCGCGTGAGTTTCTACCGAACCTAGATAACCGAGAAGATATCTCTCCCTCTTGACTTTAGGCGCGGTGGGATCGAAGTCACTGTAGTCCATGTCGACCGCGTAAGCCGACGGAAAGATACCTTGCCTACCCGTCCTCAAATTCACACCTGGTCGTGAAGAATAAAACGTATTCTATCGATATTTTTTTATTTTAAAAATAATACAACACCGTCACTATTTTTATCTTCAATTATCTCGCACTTTTGAACAAAATTGATATTATCCCAAAAACAAAGATGTAGGTTTGAAAAAATATTATAAAGTGCAAAAAAGATCAAACTTTCTGGAAGTTTTTGTGTTTTTGCACTCTTTTGAACATTCGTTTGCATTTGAAACCGGATATATCGGTTCAACATTATATTAACCATTACTGTACGAACTGAATGAATCATAAATGATTATTATTATTTTTGAAATTGATATATCCGACGCACCTTCGCACCAGAGGTCGTCGGCTTCCTTTTGCACGTATATGGGGTCTCCGATTTCAAGATCAATTTCGTCGTGATGTCGCGGTATGAACTTGTGGAGACCTCGATGGGTAGCCTCGAGCAGCTCCAGCTGAGTGAACGGCACGCCTCCGCTTCCTTGAAAAAGCCGTAAGTCATTATAATCTCCTTTCACTCAGTTCCGATTCGTTGAAACATAACGATCGGTTTATATCGTTCTCTATTCTACCTGGTGTGCTACTGGGTGACACCGAGTCTGTGTTCTGCAAAGTATTGCACGACGGTATGGGCGACACGCTCTTCGGACCGTTTTCCGGTGAATGAGCGGTAGAATGGCCGCTGTCGGTGGCCATCCTCTCGCTGTCGGGGGAACTGTCCTCGTGGCGGAGTCTGGGGTGACACTTCCTTAGAACAAGATGGGGCCGAGTCGAAGTCGAGCCGGTGGCTGCGCTCAACTCGTCCGCCAGCGAGGACGACGTTTGCATAGACGTCTGGCACATGGGCAGAGCTGAAATGATCCCGACAAAGTTATCTCTTCAATTTCGATTCAAGTGTGAACTCTGATAAGATACTTCTTTATCGAAACACACACAGATTCGCGCGCGTCTATATTTGCACACAAATGTCACTATTTTATTAATTAGTATTTAATAAATATAAGTTGCGTCCTAATTCGCGAAACGATCGATTTGTTGTGACTGCGAATAAGAGATATCGCTCAGCGACGTGTGCTTCTTATAGAACCGATGTGATACGCGAGTGCACATCTGGATTTTCTTTCATTGCGGTCGGTTTCTTGGTCGTCATTGATACATGACGCATTGTGACAACAGGCGAAAGTGATACAGCCTATCGCGCAGAACGCAATTAATAATGATGTATAGTTTTGCTTACATTTCTTTTTCGGAATTTCTGGCAATCTCCGGCGCTTGCGCTCGCCGCTTCCAGGTCGATTGGCCGGCACGTGCTCCGGCGTAGGCCAAGAGCTCAAACTGGAACAAGAGTCGCCGACGTCGCTGACGACGCTGTCCCGGCCCCCGTTACCGGAGGTGCCGCCCCCGCCCGGTCCTGGTCCACCGTCGCCTACCGATCGACCCCTGCTGCTCAGTCCACCGAACAAGCTAATGTCATCCAAGGGTAGTCGATAGTGAGCTAATCTATCTCGTCCATCGTGCTTCTTTTTGATTCTTTGGAAAATCGGAATCTATCGTTTCTTTATTGAGACGGCACGGGCGCGAAACTCGTTACTCATCGTTACTAAGCACTTCAATCGCGTCAATTAAGAGTCAGTTAAGTTGCGAAATTATTAAAAAAATTTTAGTTACATTAGTTTTCGCGACGTTATGTTACTAGAAACGTAGAATATATGAAAATTAACACATATACATGCGTAATGTGCAATTTATATTCTTCGCCGTACAACGGTGTGCGCTTGTTTGTTTTAACGCGAGTTTCAAGGCGAGGAGATCAATTATTCAACATTTTTTTTAAAAAAAAATGTTTGTTCAAACTTTTTTAATATTCCATCCGCGGCATATTTCAGAATGAACATTTTTCTCAATAATTGCCTCGCGGAGGCAAGATGGAATATGGGACGTCGAATCACAAAAGAGTTAATGACGCGAAAATAGATAAGGAAGAGACACGGGAAACCCACGCGCCACTTCGGACATTCCCGGGGAAAAATAATAACTTCAAGATATAAAGATCCTTTCGAAAAGAATTGTTTGCGCATCCGCGTGCAACACAGTTTCTAACCGCCGCAGCGACCAGCCGTTTGATTAATAATGATATGAGACAGCGTCGCTGCACATTACGAATTTTGTCGGAAAATATTTCTGGAAGCCCGAGAGTATTTATTTTTATTTATTTTCAACAAGGTCGCCGATATGAATGTTGTCACAGTGCTTGCACACAGTGGATCACTATGTACGGGAGTAAACTATCGCGTGCACTGCCGATGTTGCAGATTGAAATATTAAAATTGCATCTGGAGAGAGAGAGAGAAGCGTAATACAAACATGATATGGACCAAATAATAAAGTTCAAAAAAAATATACAAAATTTTGATACAGATAGAAAATATTTTGCGTGAGGAGGAAATTCGTTATCGCAAAAACAATTGACTGACAATTTTGACATATTGTCGAAACGCTTTCAAGTCAATTATTATCCGATAAAAAAAAACCAAATATTAAAACATTACTCGAAGAAAATCAAATTTATTGCAAGCACCAAAAAGAAGTACATACACAATTTATGATAGCACGTGAGCGAACACTTACGATGTTACCAACCTGAAGTCGCTGTCGGCTATGATCGAACAGTGATGATCCAATTCTTCGCTGTCATCGGGGGTGGTGTGTCCGCTTTGGTTGTTGTGTCGATGAATGACAACAACCTCCTCGTCTTCGGAGTCGCCGACGACGGCCTCGCAAGTTCTGCCGACCTCTCCATCGCTTCCTTGCGAGGACGTCGGCGAATCGTCGATTGTCACATCGTGCACGAGCCTGTCACGCAAAGTGTTAAAACCACGTGAAAGTGACTTTCACATTGCAAAACAACAATTCGAACAAACGATAAATACAGAAAAATAAAATGTCTCGAAGTGTCAATATAACGCAGACCGAAAATTAGATCAAAAATAGTCGCAGCCACGGGACTATATCGACGCGTATCGACGTTTCTCTTATTTTTACAGAAGCTTCGGACAATGACTCACGCGGTGTGTGCGGAATATATAAAAGGTCACTTTCTAGTTGAGACCTTATATATTTATCGATAAATATTGTATTTATAAAATTTTATCGAGGAAGCTTTAACATTTGTTTTTTTATCATGTATTTATCATTTATTATTGTTTTGAAAGAAAAATAAAATAATATCAATTATAAATTTATTTTTCACACTCTCTTGAACTTAACGCAAGATAACACATGTGACTGTGCAAACAATACGTTTGGTATTCCAATGGTTATGAAATCGATCATATATATATATATATATAGTTATACAATTATATCACGCACGTATCGGTCTCTCATTGCTGTACAACAGATATCTCTCTAAATAGGATCATCGGTTGTTTACGGCATCAACCAGGAATCTCTCTGTGTGTAGATATGTGTGTACGAAAGCCATAGATCATATATCCATCAAAGTTGTCTATACGCGTGTCGCGTTGCAGTATCACGCCGCACTTGTATCCTTGTGTCACTTACTCTGTGCTCCAGGATCAATAATTTTAAAGACACGATACCGATGTGACTTGGCAATTTTTCTTTGTGACTTTTGGCCCGCCGTGTGTGGCAACCAGTACAAATCATATGTTTAAAAGTAACATTTCCGAGAGTCACACAAAATAAATATCAAATTTATCTTTGCATTTCGCACGTTAGTGTGAAATAAAAACTTTTTAAAAACAGAGAGATTTTTTTTCTCAAGAAACGTTAAATTGTCAATAATAAATAATATTACATAGAAAATATATTAATTTTAATTAATAATTAAAATATATATTAAAAATATATCTTAACGCGCGTTGTTTGTCAAAAGCATTGATTATAAATAAATTTGAGACACTCTGTTTCTATTTTTTTTTAAAGAATTGATTAAAAATTCGCGTAGAAAAAAGAAACGGAATGGTTTTAAGAAATGACAGAAATGACCACAATTTATCGATAACTGGGCGTAATTGATATCTCTCATACTGATATCTGTCAGCCGTGCTCATTAACTTTCGATCCCAAATGTGTGGTCCACTATCTACAACCCACATTAATGCTCTGTACATTGTTTTTTGCCGAGTCTACGTCTTGTGATAAATGATTTGATTATCACACTTTATTTCAGTTTTTATTAGCGCGGTCTTCTCGCGCGAACAAGTCTCGTCTGGATCAACTTCTCCTTTTATAATTCTCGGCCGCCGCCTGTGTCGTTGCGGGCAATGTCACAGTCGTGTCTCCTTATCGTTATCATCGTGTCATCTGTTCGTGGCAAGGTTTTTGTTCGTCAGAAAGTTTACTCACGTGTAGTTGGAGAGCGGCGCTTTCAGATGCTGGGGCAGTCTTTCGAAGTAGTGACGAAACTCTTCGAACTCGCTGTCGGCCATCGCCGCCACAAAGTGAGCACGTTAAAACGGAACACACAGGGGTCGGTCCCGAGGACGGCCGTGACGGCCCGGAGGAGAGAGCTGCTCGTCAACCCCCCAGGAAACACACGTACGGGGTGAGAAGATGTCGCTGACGTCGTCGTCGACGTCGCCTCGCGCGAACGCAAAGCAACCCCTATTGATTCTTGCGTGGGGAACGTCGTGCGCCTGCTCGCTCGTGCGAGGGCGGACGAGAGTTGGTTTTCGACCAGAAGAGAAGGAAAGAGAGACAAAGTGAAAGAAGAAGTTGCGTTCTAAGGGTGAATGTTTGACTGCGAATTCTCGTCCCGTATTTAGCGCCGAACTCAGCGGCCGCGATGTTTATGGTCACCGTGTAGCCGCCAAAGAACTTTTGATTTTTAACAACCCTAAACTGTTGTACAAAAAACAAAACTTTTATTGCAAAATATTTTTGAGTTTTATAAAAAAAAGATCATTTTTATCACTTTCAATTACTTAAATTGTTAAGAAAATGACATATTTTATAAAAATTCTTAAATTAAAAAATTTATTAAAAAATATCGCTTTTGTAAATTCCCTTGAAAGCAACTTACTCTGAGAAAATATGACTGTCGCGCGATTTTGTACATACCCGGAAATGTGGGTCAGAAGTCTTCGTTCGAACGTTTCTGGATCTAACACGCTGCCGGTCGATATAAACTGCACAATAAAATATTTATCAGTAGGGCACATATACTTTCGAGAGTTTACAGTCGTATTTCCCGGAGTGGTTGGGAGAATTCGCAACTCACGAATAAAGAATTCCGGAGAGGAGGTTAAATATTTCACAGCCGTCCTGCAATCGATCTCTTTTGCACTCGCACACTCGTGCCGGAGGATCACAAAGATTCGTCTCTTTTTCTGATGCTGATTCAGTTCAAAATTATTTTTATCCTGCAAGATTTTATCACGTGTAACAAATTTGTGAAACTATTGTGAACTACTCAATGTAACACGACAAACTTTTTTCACGCGCAAAATCGATTTTCCTTTTTCTTGCGTCAATTAATATTAATCTTTTTCATAATTTTGTGACAATTTTGAAACAATTATTGTAACTAGTTTTTATTATTTATATTTTGCAAATATCTCTTTGTTTAATTTTGCCAATTACGTAGAAACATGTTTTGGTGCCAGAATAACGTGATTCTGTATTCTTCACTATCTGCTTCTTTTGTATTGTCGGTCGCATTTTTCTCATTCGTGCTGAAAGGATGCTTACAAAGGATCTTCCCGTTTACCAATGAGTGGCCATTGTTTTCCTCGAGAAGACTTTTTGCGCAGCTCAATCGCATTTCGATCGATTAGAACATTTCAGACGAGACCACAAAGTTCCGACTAGGAACACGTCTCGTGAAAGCGAAGCGCAACAGGCGACGTCAAAAGGTGAAACACGTCTGATAAAACATAAGATAAATATAGAAAGTGTATATATAAAAATTTAATATTTTATAAATATAAATAAAGATCGCGTGTAGAAAAAGAAAACTAGAATTTTTCTTACGCGCGGAATAAAATATATACACTGTTTTAATTTAAAGCAAGTTTTATAATTTGCAAAAATTATTTTAAAAAATTTAATGCACCAGCGCACATAAAAGTTTCGACGCTTGCGGCGTCAATCAAAGACGTTTTTATTGCGCGACGATAAAGAGTTTTATCAGTGTAACCTCGAACGCACAAAAAATCCGACGACACGAGAATTCGAGTACATATCGACTCTGCGTCTGACCTAGTGGCCTTTGTAGCGGGGGTTGCAGAAGACAAAAGCTAAATTCGTGAACTTTCCATCCTATTCCCTTTTGATCTCACAAAGTCGCTTTCTTGACATATCGCGCGCCGCGGAAACTACTGCGCTCTCTCTCTCGCGTATCGCACCTGTCATTTCGGCACACGAAGAGATAAATCTCACCCTTCCAATGCGAGCAACGCACATTACATTAAATTATTTGAGGTTGTGTAATAAAAATTACACAAATTATTTTTCACACATCTCGATATCTGCCACCACATTGACTGTGAGGAAACCCTGTTGAAATTTTTATTCGGTTCGGATGAAGTTAAATAGTGAATCTTCGTTTCAGAAATATCTCGCAAGATCAATCGCTTCCAACCGTATTTCGACGAGGTAGGGGTATTTGTTAGAGATCGAGCGATATATTCTCAATCTTACTTAATGCCGGTGAAAAACACTCGGGTATAATTTAGCGAGGGTAAGAATTGCGCCGCAGCACCAGCTGATAGAGGTAAGTGATGGACACCGGTAATGTGCTGCATCTACTTGCCAACGGGGAACGGTGGGAGAGACTCTTGGAGCTTTTATTAAAAAGGTGTCTTTGTTTCGAGGAATGGAGAACGAGAAATCGCCGCCTCGTCGAAGAAGCTTCTTTCTTTAAAATAGGGTGTCGCTTCTTCCGGTGACTGCGTCCTCAGTTTGTTCAATACGTTTGATTGCGTGTACCGTAGTGTGCATAAATTGAAATTCTAAAACTAGGTTACACATAATTACAAAGAGTTTACGGAATATCCAAATAAATTTACAAATAAAAAGTTACGATAAAAACACATGTGATTCTAAAATTATCATAAGGACAGGCGACATTGCGTATTTCTTGCACTACAAAATATTTTTTTTTTTCTTTTATGCAAAGAAAAGGAAACGTGTCATTGTTTTTTATTCGCAAAAAACGCATGAACAGCGTTTTCTCTCGTTTATTGAAGATCGCGCAATTCTTGGGTGCAAGTTTCGTTAATACCGATTCCTCGCCCCGCCGGTTCTCCACTGACGTCATTCACGGGAAATACATTCAGGAATCGTTCGCTAAATGAGGGGGATGAGAGCCAACACTCGTTTTCAATCCCATGAGAAGTTTTATCCGACCAATGGGAATCGACGGTGATGCTACGCGCCACCCAATCGCAGCAGGATTGCCGTAGAGAACGAGGATGCGAACGGGGGAGACCGAGTCTTTAAGAGGATCTGTTAAAGGATGGTACCCGACACACTGTTGCCTCAAAGACAAGCAACAGTCAATCCATCTCCGACTCGTTCGACACTTCGCGTCGCACAAAATATTGCGAAAAAAATTCTACCGATCGAATTGTCGAAATATCCCTCGTTAATACACACTTCTCGCTACTTTTAAATTTATTTCATTTTTTCGTTCGCGAATTTGTTTCTCATCGCGATAATCGTCATGAGTGGATCGGGAAAGAGTCTTCTCGGAGTGTGGTTGTACAGAAGAGGCAAGAACTGGGCTGTCAAAGAAGGAAGTCCGCTGCACAAACCGTGCGATGTATGTTACGTTTTTCATCGACTGTCAAAAACAACTTGGTGATTTCAATTGCAGTTCGCAGATAAAAAAATTCAAATCTGCAAGCTTCGCAAACAAAGTTTATATAGATTATCTTCAATTTTTTATTAATTAATTTTGATCACTTCGTTTAAATCATAGACGTATAATATATAGACTGCGCGTTTGGCTGAAAAGATGTCTTTACGGTTGACAAAGACAACATACTTTGAACAACTCTCTCTATCTCTCTCTCTCTCTCTCTTTCTGTCTATCAATGTCTGTGGTGGGATCAGGGCCTACTATTTCATACCTATTTCATGCCTAATCTGCCATCACCTTTTAATCTCTTTCATTCCTCTTCATCCCCAATTTTCCACCACTATTCTATCAATCAGCGAAGACTTCTTTTTCTTCCACTATTTTGCTAGACAAAGATGAGACTACTGATCAACACCAGCTGTCTTTCTTAACGTTGAGAACATTTTCTTAACATGGCAAAGGCAGGGAACGCGCAGTCTATATATTATACGTCTATATAGTTTACATCAACAACAAGTCGAGTCTAATAATAAAAGCGACATTATTGTTAACTAAATAAAACACCTGGGATACGTATCTTGATAAGTAGATCTCTATACGCAGTGGTTTCCTTCGTTTATGCAGATCGCATTGGAAGAGAGCAATCAAGCCAGTGACAACAAGAATTCTGTAATATTCTCCTTGAAGAATCAAGTCGGTGGCTTGGCACGAGCGCTTCAGGTGTTTCAGGTATCCGTCTCTCTATTCTTGTTTCCGATGTATGTACGTTCGCTAAATATTTCTTTTTCCTCAAATGGTGTTTCTAATTTGCAAATTGTGGATCGAATTGGCACTGTTGCTATCATTTGAATTAATGTGTCGTATAAATTCTGAAAATTTACAACTAATGAAATCGGTCAAATTTCGCATATTGTACCAGATGAAAAGACATTTGTAAAAAATTCATGTGAGTTGTAGCGATAGATGTGCACGTACTCGATTTCTAAACAATAATAACGGCACATGATCAATTAGCTAAATCGAAAAGCCTTGTGTCCGGAACAGTCAATCGGATTTAACGCTCCAAAGACTCTTTCGTTACTTAGTTCGGCGATACAATAAGTAGACTCGAAAGAAATGTTGCTTTCAATCAATAATTAAAGTAAATAATAACGTGTGTTATTTTTTTTAAACTTTGGACATTATTGCGGCTCCGTCAAAACACCATTGAAGCGCTTTACACAACTTTCTTTGTTGCGTTAAGGATTTAGGCATAAACGTCGTGCACATCGAATCGAGAAAATCCTTACGTCGAGGTTCCGAGTACGATATCCTCGTGGATGTCGAGTGCGACTCGAAGAGGATGGAACAGCTGATGAAGATGCTGAGTCGCGAAGTAGCGGCTATCAATCTCGCTCATTACGAGAAAATCGGTAGCATACCGCGCGCACCTTCGCTCTCGGCTACGGCAAGTTTCGGTGAGTTTGTCGCGAACGGTCTCATCCGACGCGTTATTTTAACTTATTTCGAGACGCGAAATATGAATCTCGGATTAACGCTTATAGAGACGTTATTTTTCTGAAAGAAAAAGAGAAATTTGAAAGTCCGATCAGACAGAACAGAAGAAGATTTTACAGATTTCAGTGAAGTGGACATGCCGTGGTTCCCGCGAAAGATATCGGATCTCGATCGAGCGCAAAAGGTTCTCATGTACGGCTCGGAATTGGACGCGGATCATCCCGTATGTTTGTGCAATTGTATTATTATTGTGTCTTATGTCTTGTTTGTGCTCGCACAAGTTGTTTCTAAACCCTATTCCGACAGGGCTTCAAAGATCCAGTATATCGCAAACGTCGCGAAGAGTTTGCCGATATAGCCAACAATTACAGGCAGTGAGTAAAGTAACGCTTCCAAAATGTGTCCTTCCAATTGTAAGCGCAACGTTGTTTTTTTTTTAGTGGCCAACCGATACCAAGAGTGCAATACACACCGGAGGAAATCAAAACGTGGTACGTAAACAATTCTGTAGAAAAAAAATTTTTTTAATATAAAACATTGCAAAATCGATCTTTGCGTCTATAAATATGGCGTCAAAAATCGCAATTTCGCAATAAATTGTAATCTTGCTTTGCTTAATTCTGTGCAATAACATGCGGTTTTTATTTAAAATAAAAATTTCTGCCGTTTGTTAAAAATAAAACGCAAGAAGAATCGCGAATTAACTGACGTCATCAATCGTTAAAACCCGGTGACTCTTTCTTGTTAAACTTGCGAACCAAACTTGCGAAAACGTGTTTTCCAGTACATAAAGGTACTTTAGTCATATACTTGTCTCTTTTCTCTCTCCAATTCGCGAAACGGGAAAATTCTCTCTCTCTCTTTCTTCCTCCTCGCGTTGTGTACACTTTCATAGCATACGAATCGAAATAAGATTGGCTCACGTTGAATGCACGCCTTAATTGCGTCAATTTGATTTATCTTCGACGCGAGAAGTGCTCCTGAAGCGACTCGGCTAATGCAATCTCTTCGGTTCGAATGCAACGAAACAAACATCGCGACTTCGACAAACTTAATCAAGACGCGAGCTTTTGGACGGAATCAAACACACGAACGATTCGATAAATGATCGCCAACTTGTTGTCGAACAACATTTAGTTAAAACATTATCTCTATAAAAAAAAAAAAAATACATCGAAACACATCAGCGTTGAGTGAGATAATATCAATAAAATATATATAATATATTGCAACATTATTTTGTGCGTAGTCAGTTTGGTTGCGACACTTTTTTCAGGGGAACCGTGTTTCGTGAGCTTCATCAACTTTATCAAAAGCACGCGTGCAAAGAATATTTGGAAAATTGGTCGAAGTTGGTCAAGTATTGCGGATACAGGTATTGTAAATTTACTTCAGATACGCGATATTTCACAAATAAAAATTGACAAATTTTACTAAATACACAGATAAATATTAATTTGTAAACGATACGCTTTATACAACGGCATATATTTTTGATATTTTGTTATTAATTACCCGGTAAAAAAATCTTCCATGTATAAAATTGTATGGACATATTCGGTATATACATTTGCATAATTAGATATAATAAGTTTAATTTGTATCATATAAGTATATATGATTATATATCAAAAATTTTTTTAAAATATAGCAAAAATATAGTTTTATATACTTTTTTTGTATCTAACATGATACTAATAGAGTTATTTTGTAATTTGATATGGAATATCTCTGAAGCCATTCTCTTAAAAAAAGAAATTTTCCGTGTATAAAATTGTACGGACATATTCGGCATATAAATTTGCATAATTAGATATAATTATTTTAATTTGTGTATATAAGTATATATGAAAAATTTTTTACCGGGTATAGAGAAGACAACATACCACAACTGCAAGATGTTGACGCTTTCCTTAAGCGTGAGTATAATATCGTTACGTACCAAACTATCTTATCGTTTGCCGCGATTAATTTAACTTGACACCTGCAGGAACGACGGGATTTCAACTTCGTCCAGTCGCGGGTTACCTCTCGCCGCGGGATTTTCTCTCCGGACTCGCTTTTCGAGTGTTCCATTGCACTCAGTACATTCGACATTCTTCCGATCCATTTTACACGCCGGAACCGTGAGCACAATTTGTTTTAAATCACAGTGCGTGATGCTGCAAAACGCACTGCTAAGACAAAATTTTTCTGTGTGTGTATTTGGTTCTCTTTTTTCATTTCATCTCATCTTATAACGATACTCTACGACTCGCAGAGATTGTTGCCACGAACTTCTGGGACATATGCCGCTTCTCGCCAATCCGAGCTTTGCGCAATTCTCTCAGGAACTTGGTCTGGCTTCTCTCGGCGCATTGGACGAGGACATAGACAAATTGGCGACTGTAAGCCTCGAAAATAGAAACGCTTTAGAACTGTCGCGCGCGAGCGTGACTTTTCTCCTTATTTTCAGCTGTATTTCTTCACTGTGGAATTTGGATTGTGCAAACAAGACGGCACGTATCGCGTCTACGGGGCTGGCCTGCTGTCATCGGTGGCGGAATTGCGGCACGCGGTGTCCGCGCCCGAGAAGACCATGCGTTTCGAGCCGGAAATCACGTGCAAACAAGAATGCATCATCACCGCGTTCCAGAACGCGTATTACTACACGGACAGTATAGAGGAAGCAAAGGAAAAAATGCGGTAATATTATTTGTCAATTTTCCTGCTTTTTTTTTTTTTT